TGTAGGACAATGTGTAGTTGTAGGACAATGTGTAGTTGTAGGACAAAGTCTAGCTGTAGGACAATGTGTAGTTGTAGGACAAAGTCTAGCTGTAGGACAATGGGTACTTGTAGGACAATGTGTAGTTGTAGGACAATGTGTAGTTGTAGGACAAAGTCTAGCTGTAGGACAATGTGTACTTGTAGGACAATGGGTAGTTGTAGGACAATGTGTAGTTGTAGGACAAGGTGTAGTTGTAGGACAATGTGTAGTTGTAGGACATGGTGTAGTTGTAGGACAAGGTGTAATTGTAGGACAAGGTATAGTTGTAGGACAATGGGTAGTTGTAGAACAAGGTGTAGTTGTAGGACAAGGTGTAGTTGTAGGACAATGTGTAGTTGTAGGACAATGGGTAGTTGTAGGACAATGTGTAGTTGTAGGACAATGGGTAGTTGTAGGACAATGTGTAGTTGTAGGACAAACATCGTTGAACAGCATCCTCCTCTAAGACATAAGGAAATTCTACCGTCAGTTATAGCAAAGTTAGGTTCGTAGGGTTCACCAGTTTCGAAGTCTCTCCGGATCTCGCCCGGTTCATCGCTGTCAAATGTCATCACGTTTAACAACGCCATCTATATACTTATGACTGTAAAGCTCACTGACGGAAGAGTGAGTTTTTCAGAGGTCATGATCCAATAAGTGTACATGAAACAGAAGAACAGCAATAATGGAAAATCCTATAAAGAATTAACTTCATATTAAAATTTCACATAGAAACTAAATAAATAAAACTTTAATGGTACGTCGAAAATAATGATTTCAGTGTCTTTTGTTTTGTCTATCTTTTTTACGTATAAAGTCAGAATAGGTTTTATAGTGTAAGTTATTCTATCAAGCCTTTGTTTTCTTCTGTAATGTATAGTTTATCGACCCATCGGTACCGATGTATATAATCATCCTGACGTCACTTTGTTGTTTATATTACATGGACAGCCTCGCCTATCTAGAACGTCTAACGTGTGAACGTATACACAGACAAACGTATACATCGCAATATAGACAAACAGCCTTAAAAGAACAGGAAGAAACAACGGGTATATGTTATTCTATGTACTTGTGTTGTCCATATAAGTAAACGTCATACGTACACACGTGGCTTTACTGTGAAGGGTCAGGCTTGGTCGATGTCCGCGTGAATGCAGGTTTATTAAACTGACTGACAAATCTAATCAGTTTCATCTTGAAACACGCCCACTATTCATGCATTTAAAAACGTTCCCACTGTAAACTAATACAAATAACTTTAATATAAAGGATCAGGTATTCAACCTCCGTCCTGAAAGTTTCCATTGTTTTTATTTTAGCGCAAAAAAAACTATGCGACTGTGCTCCGTTCACCGTGGGGAATGGAACCCCGAATTTTAGAGTTGTAAGTCAGTAAACTTCCCGCTGAACCACCAAGGTAGGGGGTGGGGGAATTGTTTATGAGATATATGTAGGTACATACATTTAAAATGTAAATAACGAACACTGGTTTCTCTAGAGTATTATATATTCAAGGATACGTATATATATATATTACATCCTTAAAACGACTAGCACATAATTAGTCAGACAGATCCGATGCATACCTACTAACAGTGTTTTGCATATTTTAACTTGTCCCGATAACGAGCACGCTGCACACGCTTTTTGACAGTTACAATTGGATGAAGCACAAAAAGGGTTAGCCTGTTGCTCTCAAGCTCGCTACGCTTTACGAGTTTAAACACCAGGAATAGCACTGGCTGTTTAAAAATACACGCTGGCCATTTCTCTCTCTCTCTCTCTTCTGTTTCTTTTTTTTTAAATTAAGTTGTATCTACAGAAATATTGAATACATGTCAAAGAAGGTTATAATTTCCCTTTGTAGGTTATTTGTTAGGCCTCATTTGGAACACTGTGTTTAGTCTTAGAAAAGAGATTGAATTGTTGGAAAGGGTTCAGAGAAGGGCTAATAAGATGAAACCTGGCATGGAAAGATTGTCATATGAGGAGAGATTAAGATCTTTGATTTTTTATCAAGAGAAAACACAGAGTTAGAGGGGGTCTGATTGAAATGTTTAAGATTGATTAGGGAATCGATAATTTTGATGGATTATATATATATATACTTAACGGTTAGAATATGAAACAAACATTATATATATATATATATACTTAACGGTGAGAATAGGAAACAAACATTATATATATATATATATACTTAACGGTGAGA